CAGGGGATGTCTCTGGTCGTCCCTGGTCGCTCCGCTAGGAGCCCAGGGACCATTCCTCTGGAAAGGAGCCATGCCAAAGTCGACACTAAGGAGTGTTTGGCAATGCAACAGTAAGGAGCACCCTCCTGATCCCTGTGGTTGTCTGGGGCCGATTGGGCCCGCTGTCAAGGGTGTCCGGCGGCGCATCATGATCCCTGATGGCGGGTCATGATGGCTTGATGGCTGACTAAAGCGCGATCCGTGATTATGTCCCTTCTCTGGGATATTAGTGTTGTTGCTCAGTGCTTTGAGCTTGTGAATATATGAGGGCTTGTCAAGCCCTAGGGCTCTAAGGGTGGTGAGGGCCCGATGGGCCGTATAGGGCCCGTTGGCCCGACCCGAACCCTGACATCACCCCCCCACTAGGCGAAACTCGTCCCGAGTTTTATCGTCCGATTTCCATATTCAATTCCGATTTGTTGAGAAAAAAAATTTCGTCATTCGCATGTAGATGCCTTCTCGTCGAAGGGCTTAGTCGATTCCTCTCTCGCGTCCAGGCCCCAGTCGCGTCCTCCCAAAGGATGATCAGACATCCGGACGCTCTCCTGGGTCTCCCCCGTTCCCCGTTCCTGGCCGAAGCGGAGGTGGTCGTACACCCCATCCGGTCCAGGCGCTGCGCCTAACCTCCCAGCACTCCTCCCCATCGCCTGTTGCCCCAGGCGCGCCTTTGCAAGGGATGATCGGACATCCGGACGCTTCTGAGTCTCCCCCATTTCTCCCATTCCTAGCCGCAGAGGGGACGATCGGACATCCCTTGCGGGCCAGGCGCTACTCCTAACCTCCTAGCACTCCTCCCCTATCGCCTTGTGTCGAGTTGGGCTCGGCGACGGCTCGACGCGTCGTTCTCGGTCACGTGCTTCCCACGTGTGCGTTCCTCCTACTGGGGCGCATGTTCCCCGTCGTCACGTGCTGCGTGTTACGGGCCCGCAATGGCCCGACACCAGCGCCGGAGCGGACGGGCCGGGTCTTATCCGTGACATCGCCCCCTCCCTTGGAACGACTCATCTCGAGTCGGCGTGGCTTGGTCGCCCCGGTTTCTCGGGGTGTTTGGTTGTTCACATTTTCCGAACACTGGCTTCCAATTGCATGCTGAGCACCGGCTGCGCGTTTTTAGACCATTCGTAGCTTCTCCCGTTTGCGTGATGTCAGCCCGGTCCGGTCCAGTGCGTCCGCGCGTTTGCCATGTTCAGTCTCGTTGCCAGTCGAAGCCCAGAGGCGATGGGGTCGTTATGACGACGCCTAGCCATCCCTCTGTCCAGCCTCCAGTTTTGGGGTGTTATTGTCCCCGGTTTTTTGCTGCCAGTGTGCAGCCACCCCGTTCCAGGGGTCATCGTTGTTTTTTCGTATATGCAGATTTGGCCCGTCAGGCCGATTCGGGCCGATGTGGGCCCGAATCGGGCCGATTCACGTCATCGATCCCATCATCTTAGTCGTAGGAGGGTTTGAACATCAATTCGCACGGTTTTGGGTTTGTCTGGTTGAAGGCCAGCACCTTTGAACGAAATTTCCCACGGTTGGGAAAGGGGTGACGTTTCGGGCGCACGGGACGGGTCTCTTGCTAGTGAAAAGAGCCTGGGTCTGCTTCTTCCCCCAGCGCTCCCAGAGTGGTTTTCCACTTTCCTTGGCTGCTATAGAGGTGGGGACGGACTCAACGTTTCCCGTGCCTCAAGCGCCGTTCACCGGAGTGGACGCCCCATGGCAGACAGAAGTTGCGGCCCAGAAGTCGACATCTGGGGGAGCCGATATTCCTTACCTCGGCGCCAGGGTACGAGAATTCGAAAGAAGAGGGTATAGGGAAAGAATTTGCCAAGTAGGGGCGAAAGAAACAAAGATTTGTGTTCGGACCAACGGGTCATCGGGCCCGTGGATTGACAGGCCAGACTTCAAGTTGGGCCGCGCAAGGTCTCCTAAGAACGCACACCAAGAACAAAACAGACGGATTGTCGGGCCCACGAGTATGACGAGCGGGGTAGATTTGAACCAAAAGGGCCCGTTAATTCGGTCCCTTGTCGTTGTCGGTGATCGAAGGTTCGAATCGGGTCGTTTCGTCGTTGTTAGGCGCAGAAGGTATTGAAGAACTCCTTAACCGGAGTGAACAAGTGGAGCAGGTTTTGACCTGTTCCCAGGAGTTTTAACGCGAAGGGGCGGACTCCTCAACCCATAAGACGAATGGAGCAAAAGTTGTTGGCTCCCAGGAGTTTCAAGACGAAAGGGATAACTCCTCAACCCATTGGACGAAGTGCCGACACATAGAGTGGTCGTTCAGCACAGAAAGGATGCTCCAAGAACTTGAGCTTTCCAGAGAGCGCCCCACACTTGAAAGAAGGACAGTAAAGGGAGGTTTTAGCATTCTGTCAGGAACGGGGCCGGCCCGGGCCCACGTGACGGTCTCCTGCCAGTCTGACAAGTGTGGGAAAGATGGTTCAACCCCCATAGCTGGGTGGTCGGCAACCAGGCAGCGTAGATGGTGCCACTGCAATAGAGAGCAGGGTAGGGACAGCTCGGGGCGACTCGAGACGCCCCGCTGTCACGTTGTGTGACAGCGGTGTCACAGGATACGAGTGGTCGTCTAGAGTGTCCTACCCCTGCTGAAGGGAACGAGTCCATAGCCAAAGAGTGCTGTGTAGTAGAGTTGGTGCCCAAGACATAGGGCAAGGCATAGGCTGGGCCAGTTGAACAAGCCGTTCGGGCGGGGCGTGACGTAACGCGGTCACGCCCGACGGTTCGGGGGGTCGAGGGGAGTTGCCCCGCAGCAGGGGCTGCAGGCCCGAGACCCCTGGAGCGCTTGAGAAGGGTTGCCAGTCCAAGGGGCGACATATCTCCTTTCCTGGAGAAACGAGTCGCTGTGGCTCCTAGACACCGCGTGACTGCGCGGTGTGACGCGTGACATGCGGGCCCGATCGGGCCCGCACCCTCCCATCGCCCCGTACCAGGGGAACCCAGAGCTTGAGGCCAGAGAGCAAGAAGAAGTGGCTAGGACAAGGGTGAACATAAGAGACAAGAGCCTGAGCTGTCCAGCCCAACCAAGGGCTCAGGTCAATGAGGCAAGCTAGCCTGGAGTGTTGGAAGTCGTCTAGACGCCCCTTTCCTGGGGTATGGTCGCAGCAACCCCGCTCTAGGGGACCAGGCCGGAGTAGGGTTCAAAGGAAGAGACTTCAATGCTAAAACCTAAGGTACAGGAGTAATACTCTGGTCTTTATATACTGTGGGCGCTAGGGGCCGATCGGGCCCGCTGAGGGTCGATCAGAAGGGAGCAGGGGATGTCTCTGGTCGTCCCTGGTCGCTCCGCTAGGAGCCCAGGGACCATTCCTCTGGAAAGGAGCCATGCCAAAGTCGACACTAAGGAGTGTTTGGCAATGCAACAGTAAGGAGCACCCTCCTGATCCCTGTGGTTGTCTGGGGCCGATTGGGCCCGCTGTCAAGGGTGTCCGGCGGCGCATCATGATCCCTGATGGCGGGTCATGATGGCTTGATGGCTGACTAAAGCGCGATCCGTGATTATGTCCCTTCTCTGGGATATTAGTGTTGTTGCTCAGTGCTTTGAGCTTGTGAATATATGAGGGCTTGTCAAGCCCTAGGGCTCTAAGGGTGGTGAGGGCCCGATGGGCCGTATAGGGCCCGTTGGCCCGACCCGAACCCTGACATAGAGCTGGTACCCTTGAAGGATAGCTTGCGGCGCCAGAAGAGGGGATGGTTGGGGCAGAGGAGGAAGCTTGTTGCAGGGAGATGGGGGGGAAAGGAAGGAAGGACGGGCGGTGATACACCGTATTTGAGAATGATCTGTGATGGTTGTCATCAATCAAGGGTGTCATATCACATGTGATTGCCGGCCCGAAATTTGCCGACTTACAAGCGACTGGTCTGACTTGGGTGGTCCTGTTGAGAATGGCTTAAAACACAAACAGAGCTTTTACATGGCAATCTACTATACTGAGACAGGCTACAAGTCCATGGACTGAAATTATTGAAAAATACTTGATACCACCCAGGGCTTCCATGTCACCCAGTCTCCCCAGAGCTCCCCAGGTCGCCCAGCAAAATGTAGTTTTGCTGATGTATCTTAAAGGTATGTCAATGATAGTATTCATATCTTTGAAAAAATAGCAAAAGGAATGATTACTAGGATGAGTTGTTATAATATTTACTTGTATCTCATAATTTTGACAACTAGTACTTACTTCACTTATAGGCAACTTATAGGTGAAAATTCCAGATTAGATGATCCAAGAGTCAATGGGACATATTATATCAGACTATGGATTGTGTACTCTTGAATCAAGCTGAACTTTTTTATTTTGTTTTGGTAAGCCTGCAAATAAAAGGGCCAGAATGGTTGGGGCCACATTACTTAAATCTACAAATGCTGCTAGAGGTATGATCAATCTACGAGTAGGTATTTTTGTTCAAAGATATAAGTATTGCCGTCATAGGTTATTTCTGGATATGACGTCTTATCTATCCATGGGGTTGGATCTGAACTCCGAGGCAGGGCAAGGCTGTCGGCCTGGCGACGCCGTATTTTTGCCCTCGCCCGAAACCCGAGTAGGAGATGGGGGTGAAACGGAATGGAAGCTGACTCGCCGCTAGATGGATGGCCTGCCAGTGTGATGGGCCAAGGACGCCGGGGCGGAATCACGTATCATGTATCACGCATCGCGCATCGCCATCATCAGCGCTGGGCTGGCGTCCGCGTCAGGTTGTATTGGGCTGTGGGCTGCATCAGATCATTCATGCTCCGCCTCCAACGAGGGAAGCATGCCCGCATGACTGCTCGCGGCCACACAGACCTGCGCCAAGGGCTCGCCGCGCCCCGTCGCCGCTCGACAATCGCGGCGAGGAACTCCGCCCGACAATTTCAGGAATTCAAATTGCTACTAGGCTTGGTCCCGCGCGATCGGCGCTGTGACAGCGCCGAAAGGGTGCCACGCTGTCACGCGGCTCCCTTCTTTTTCTTCTCCATCATGTACATCTTCGCCCATCTTTGCTCTTGGGCGGGGGCTGGGCTGGGTCCCAGGTACACCGCCCCCGATGCGTATCGCACGCCAACCCCGCGACTGAATGGATGCGGATGCAGACGCGGCCGCGGAATCAGATGGGCCAGGGACGCCAACCGCAATCGCAAATCGCAATCTATCGCCCCGGTGACAGGCAGCGACAGGACACGACACGCGGCGTTAGCGTTACGGCTGGCATATAAACCGGGGGCAGCTGGTGCCGGGTGCGCTTCGCTTCTTCTGCTTCCTTTGCTTCCTTCGCCAAATTTGCTCCCCCCACTCTACACGTACTTGCTTTCTACTTCCACACCACACTCCATGACGTCGCTTTCCCCGCTGGATCGGCTTGCGCTCGCAGGCGACGCTGCCAAGCACTGGCTCCACCGCGAGCTCCCCAGCGCGCCCGACGGCCAGTACGACTCCGAGCATGTCGCGCACCCTGAGCAGGAGGCGAAGAACCGCTCGATCGTCAGCGAGGGCGTCGCCGAGGTGCGCTCTCTGCTTGCTTTCATAGAAGGGTGCTAATGAAGGTGCAGCTGAACAGGCTCCGGCCAGGCCTCGAGGCGACGGCAAAAGACGCTCTAACAGGCGCGGTGCGTGTTTTCAGCTGTGCAGGCAAGGGGGAGCTGACGATGACGATGAGTAGGGCGCGATAATAGACGCGGTGCTCCACCCGAATGCGGTGGACGACCGCAAAGGCGCCGTGCGTTGTTTCCGTGCGTTTCTTCCCGTGGCTGACGACTGCAGTTTACTATCGCCCTCGAAGTCCTCGCGAACCTCCCGCCCGAACACGTGGCGGCAAAGAAGATCAGCGACGCTGCATTAACGCTGCTCTACAACACCATCCCGCACGTGCGTCCCCTCCCCTCCCTTTTTTCCACTGCCATACTGACTCGCTTCAGCCGCCCGCGACGGGCCTCGGTCCGGAACACGCCTGGCGCTCCGCGGACGGGGGCGGGAACAACATCCTGAGCCCGGACATCGGGCGGGCGGGCACGCCGTATGCCCGCAGTGTCCAAAGCCGGACACCGATCGCGCCGAGCACGCTCCCCGACGCGGGGCTCGTGTTTGACGTGCTGATGCGGGCACGCGACGTGCAGCACCACCCGGGCGGCAACTCGAGCCTCACCTTTGCATGGGCGACGATCGTCACGCACTCGCTCTTCCGCACGGACCCGCGGGATTGGAGCAGGAATAATACCAGCTCGTATTTCGATTTGAGCCCGCTCTATGGGATTAGTGCGTCATCTTCCTCTCTCCATCGCTGACTAATTTGTGTGTAGACCAGGCGACGCAGGATTTGGTCCGAGATAGGAAGGCCGGCAAGGGATTGCTGTACCCGGACGTGTTCTCGGAGGAGCGGCTGACGTTCCTCCCGCCCGCGGCCAGCGCGATACTCGTGCTGTTTAATCGGAACCACAATTATATTGCCGAGAAGCTGTTGAAGATCAACGAGCGCGGGACGTGGGCCGAGCCGCCGCCCACGGACGAGAGCAAGCGGGCGCAGCAGGACGAGGAGATCTTCCAGATTGCGCGGCTTGTCAAGTAAGTTCCGTCAGCGCTGAGTGAGCAGCGGCTGATCCCAGGTAGTTGTGGCCACTTCATGAGCTTCATCGTGGGCGACTACGTCGCTGCCTTCTTGGGCGTGTCCGAGGGGATAACGTCCCCGCTTTTAAACGACGCGTTCAGCCCCATGACCGACGCGAAAGGCGCCCCGGTCACGCGTGGCGAGGGGAACCAGTGCAGCGTCGAGTTTAACGTGCTCTACCGCGTAAGTCTCTTCATCTTACTTTTCCTGTATGCTAATATTGTCTGCAGTGGCACGCGCTTCTGTCGGAGCCCGACCGCGAATGGACGACGACGACGTTCGAGCACGTGTTCGGGGACGCCAAGCCGCTCGACGAGCTCACCCTGGCCGACTTCGGCGCGGCGTTCGCGCGCGTATCCAAGCAGATCCCGCCCGACCCGCGCCTCCGGTCCTTCGGCGGGCTGTCCCGGGCCGCGGACGGGCGCTTCGCCGACGGGGACATCGCGAAGATCCTGCAGGACGCGACGGCGACGCCAGCCGGATCGTTCCGGGCGCGCGGCGTGCAGAAGGAGCTGAAAGTCGTCGAGGTCCTCGGCATCGAGCAGGCAAGGCGGTGGGGGGTGTGCACGATGAACGAGTTCCGCGAGTTCCTGGGGCTGAAGCGGTTTGAGAGCTTTGAGGAGTGGAATCATGACGAGGGCGTGGCGGCGGCGGCGCGGCAGCTGTATGGGCACGTGGACAACCTCGAGCTGTATGTCGGGCTCGAGTGCGAGGAGATCATGCCGCTCCGGCCGGGGGTAAGGCTGTCGTCGGGGTACACGGTGGGCGTTTTTCTTCTAGTTGCGGAGGCAGAGGCTGATGCGATGGTAGCTCATGCGCGCGATATTGGCGGATGCGCTCGCGCTGATACGCGGGGACCGGTTCTTCACGACGGACTTTACGCGTGCGTGAGCTTCTTCCGTTCTCTGATGCGAAGACTAATCGGGGTGCAGCGTGGAACCTGACCGCGTGGGGCTTCCAGGACTGCCAGCGGGACCCGCACAACGGCGCGCTCGGCGGACAGAGTGCGTCTCCCCCCCTTTCCCTTTCTCCACATACTAACAAAAGCCACCAGTGTGCAAATTCCTGACGCGCCACCTCCCGGCGTACTACCCGCCCAACTCGGTGTACAGCTGCTTCCCGTTCTTCACGCCAGAGCACATGAAGGCGAGCCTGGTCAAGCAGAAGAAGGCGGGCGACTACACGTTTACGCGGCCCGTGCCGCAGCGGCCGGTGGTCGTGGTGGAGACGATGGAGGGCATACGGGAGGTGGTCAGGGATGAGGGGAGGTTCAGGGATGTGTATGGGGTCAAATGTGGGTCCGCTGATATGATGCTTGCATGATAGGCTGATGTTGTGGTAGATCTTAAAGGCAAAGACCGGAACTGGGTGCGTTCCTTCCCCTCTTCCATAATAGCTAGCTGACAGCTATACAGCTCATCGACTCGCTCTTCCCCGGCTCACCTATCGCCGCACAGACGACCTACCTGGCGACGCTGCAGAAGCAGATCGCGACGCGCAGCTGGGTGTACGACGGCGCGCCGGGGACGTACGTGGACGTGGTGCAGGGCGTGCTGAACCCCGCGGCGGTGCGCTGGGCCGCGGAGCAGCTCGTGCGTCTTCCTTTTCATCAACTTGCAAGTTGCTGACAATTTTTGGTGGCAGTGCGGCATCCGGCCGAAGACCGCCGCCCACCCGGCCGGCGTGTACACCGAGGCCGAGCTGTTCGACATGTTCGGCACGCTGTACAGCAGCACGTACCTCGCCGTCGACGACGCCGAGCACGGCTTCGCGAAAGCCTGGGCGGGCGCACGTGCGCGGGAGCTCCTCCTGTGCCGCGTCGAGGAGGCCATCCGGGGGGTGCTCCCGCACAACGGACACCATACCATCGCCGACGCGCTCGCACACGTGACGGAGCTGTTCCACCCCGCGGACCGGAAGCGCCCGTTCGCGGAGTTCGTCGCGCGCCTGGCGGAGGCGCGGCCGCAGGCGGGGGTGGATGAGTTGGCGGCGGCGGTGCTGGAGCTCGGCGTGGTTTCGTGTGCCACTTATGCGCAAGGTAAGTGCCTTTTGGCCCGGATAGAGGGGGTGTTGACGGGGCTTGTAGCGGCGGCGCAGGTGGTGGACTTTTACCTTGAAGACGCGCAGATGCATGCGAGGGAGCATATCGTCTCGCTCGTGGGCTCGGCTGATGTCGGGGACGCGGACAAGGTGCTGCTAGCGTATGTCCGCGAGGCGCTGCGTGCGTATTCCCCCCCTTCCTCTATTCGTGGAGTGCTGACGGGGACGCAGGGCTGAATCCCGCTACCACCGGCGTCTGGCGCGAATGCGCGCAAAACAGCGTCATAACACAAGGCCACGCCGCACTCCCGGTGCACGTGAAAGCGGGCACGAAGGTCTTCGGCAGCCTCGCGAACGCGTATCGCAACGTGCGTCCTTTCCCTCCCTGCCGCTTCTTCTCCTTACCCTCCATTCAGCCGGCCGACTTCCCCGACCCGTTGACGGTCAACATCGCCCGCCCCGCCGCGGCGTACGCCTTCTCCGCGTCCGAGCCATCAGAGGACGTCGACTTCGAGCACCTCGCGGCGGCGCAGGCCCTGCGCGCGGTGTTCGCGCTCAAGCACGTGCGCCGCGCGGCGGGCAGCACGGGCCGGCTCGCGGGCTTTAAAGAGACCGCGAACGAGACGGAGAAGACGGTGTACTTGACGCCGTACGGGACGACGAGCGCGTTTCCCGGCGGGATGCAGGTCGTGGTGAGTGGTGTTTTATTCATTTGTTGAGACGGGTGCTGACGGAGGGCAGTATGATGCGTGAATGTGCGGCTGGATGACTACGAAGGAGGCAAAAAATATTAAACACGATGGGTGTATTTATCGTGGGTAATCTGTTGTTTTAGTAATGAGGTGTATCTAGCTAGTATTTCAGTGTTGGTTTTACTTAAAGCGCTGTACCGTATGAACAAAAGGAAACAAGGAGGATGAACTCCTTCTGTCGTCGAAATGGGGGTTAAAACTTGAAGCTGCACCGCCAAAAAATATTTCAGCTTTAGGTGTCTTCCAAAATAGGAAATTTGATGGCAATGTTAATTAACATGTTAATAAACAGGGTCTGGAGACTGCCGGAAATCATTCACGTAAATATATAGGATTGGGAATTACTTACAGCACCCTATAACCCCCTCATGAAGACGTGGGCGATCGGGGGGGTTGGCTCAGCTAATGATGATGCAGACGCGGACAAGGTGTTGTCGTCGGCCTATGTACACGACGTGCTGCAGAAGTAAATCTTTATTCTCAAGAATCTCAACCATTCAAACGATTTTCGAGGCGTCGTCTCGATCGGGGTTTCCATGAAGACGCCGCGTGGGAAGTCATGTTCCCACGCTCCCATCTTATCTCCGAACTTCCATGATGTTGCTCATAAGCCTTAAACAACGGCATCTATGCTTGGTGCAAACAATCCTTAACACTTTGAGTCAAGATGTCCTCAGGATTCCGGGAGCTCTGACAGAATAAGCACTTCCTTGATACTTCTACTCGCAGTAGGGGTGCTCAATTCTTGGAGGTCGGAAGATAGGAAACTGTAGAATATAATATTTTTATTAAGCGGGAATTTCCCAGCAGCCAAACAGCCAATTTCTCTCTCACACTCAGCCCAGCCGTTCCCACCCGCCATTTACCCGACAACTCCCCCTATTCCATGCCCAAGCATGGCCGCCAGGACATCGAAAATGAGGTCGTTGAGCATGCTGCAGCCACCTTCCTCATCGCCGACCTTGTCGATGATGCACCAGTGCCCTTCGATAACGACAATGATCTCTTGAATGAAGATGGCGATGATCAGTTGGTTGAGGCATTGGCAGCGGGAACCACGGAGGCTGCAGAGACGCTGAGGCTGTATGGAGCCTTGTTGGCTCAAGAGGCAGCCAATCTAAAGGGAGATGGGACCCGTGGGGTACTTTTTCGGCACCCCTGGCCCTGGTCGTAAGGATTTGGAAAGTGGCCTGGTTACAACCAGGGTGGTCGGATTGCACCAACCCCGGATACAACCAGGCCCTGGTTATAACCAGGAAGGGTGCGAAAGGGTAAATAGATGCTATTTAAATAAATGGCAAAAGGGGGAGTCAAACCGGGGCAACGTCGGTCAGAAAAGACGAGACATATCAACCGATTGACTAAGAGACAATTTGAAGTCCTATTAAAACCCCGGCCGCCGCGGCCGCCGCCGCAACTAAGCAAGCCCAATGATTATTTATGTCAAAAATAAATAAGAAAAAATTCCTAGCCCCCGGCAGGGTGGGTCCAGGGCAAAGCCCTGGTCGGGGTCCGGGGTGGACAACCCCTCGATTACCAAGATTTACAGACTGTGTGGGGAGTGGAGATGGGTCTCTTGTGCAATCATCGGAGCAGCCGATCTGGATAGGGCCTTCATATTTGAGCCGGAAAGGCTTCTTTGTGGTCTGTATTTCTGCTGCTATAGATTATTATTAACATTTCATACTAGTATTCTATTTTTACTATTGTCGACAGTGGTATTCGATTTGCGGCATGGGATCTTGGATGGCCTGGCAGTGTTACCGATGCACGTGTATTCAAGAACTCACCTTTCTGGCAACATTGACACCAGTATCTGAAGAACGGTCGTCGTATCCTGGTCGACAAGGGCTATCCATCAACGCCATACAGTATTCGACCCTTCAGTGCGCCAGAGATTGCCAAAGCATCACCCGAGGACCAGCGACGGATGAAGGACTTCAATTTCATTCTTTCAGGCCAGCGTATAACAGTTGAACATGCGTTTGGTTGTTTCAAGCTTCGCTTCCGGTCAATGCAGATGGTTGGCGGCCACAAATATGTCGAAGATGTATGGCGGGCAATTAACGCTCTTATGACGATGCACAATATGTGCTTATATCATGGAGATCATCCGGATAAATTTGCGGAATATACTCCAGGCCTGGGTGGAGGTCTTGCTATTGATGTTGCAGGAAATGGACTTGATGCTCCAACTGATATGGCAACACCATTTGCGGCAGCGAATATTCCGGTACACGAAACTGCAGCATGGCTGAAACGGGAAGGATTGAGGGTTCGGCAAGAGTTACTTAATATTATATTTCCAGTATAAACAAATAAATCAAAATTATACTTGATTAAAGTGAATATACTATAAATGAACAATAAGACCTTGAAATGTTAACTGATTACTCCAGCTCAGAAGCAAGATATGCATTAACCACAGCTCTTGCCTTTTCCCGATTCTCCTCCAAATATACCCCTGTCTTGTCCGCCAGAATCCGCTCCGCTAACTCCACCTTCTGAGTAAGGCGCTTTGTCTCCATAACCTTCTCCTGCATTGCCCTATTTGCCTTGTCCATCTCTACCCGATTGGCGAGATAGTCATTCATGGCTGCTAACGGTGTCTCCTTCTTGATCTTGGTTAAAGGCTTGGACTTCGAGGTCAATACAGGGGGACGTGGGTCGCTACTCAATTTCGATTTGGTTGATTTCTGGGCAGTATTTGCGGGGGTAGATGGTGGTCATTTACCCATATATTTGATTATGTCATCAGTATCGTCCTCTAGATCATCGTTGTCTTCAGGTTCGGAGAGATCGATATTCGAGCGTGCAGTATTGCGACTGACTTTCGGATTGTCTTGATATCTAGAGCAAGTCAGATAACTCTTTCCCCAAAGATATCGAAAACATACCGAGCAAGGAATAGGTCATACCAGCCTTTCTCCTTCCATAACTTGAGTTTCATCGCATTAAGGCCAGCAGTATCAAAGCCAGCACTGGAGCATGATGCTAGAAAGTTGTCGATAGACTCCTCCGACTCCCAGTCTGTTGCATCGCCATCAGCGCCATTGCCAGTAAAGTTCTGAAGCTCAAGCATCTTTTTAAAAAAAATCCAGCGTACGGTCGAAGAAGGCCTTCATCTGCTTGGCTGTACGCTTGAGACCTGACTCCTGACAAAACTGGGACCTCATTAGTCGAAAGAACAAAGAGAAACAGAGCTTCCGTACCAGTTCCCAACAATTATTGGATGTCAATAAGAGTTTCTTGAAGTTCTTGTCTGAGTCTGCACCAAGGGCAACTTGAAAGAGTATCTCGATTTGGTCATCACTCCATTCGCTTCCCACACTGCCCTTGTCCTCCTCCTCCTTGACCGTTGGCTGGCGAGAACCCTTTGATGGCTTTGAACTGGGTTTCCGTATAGTTTTCGACAGCTTCTGGGCAGGCTTTGGGGTCAGAGATGGAGGTGGGAGATTCTTTCTGTTCTTTGAACCCGGAGGGCGGCCAGGACCACGACGAACAGGTGTTGCGGACACCCCTTCATCATCGGAGATCTCAATTGGGATCGCAACACGCTTTGCTGCTGCCTGAACTAAGAAGGAGGGGCTTGCCGGCCGCTTTTCTGCCCAATCGAACCTTTGCGGCGGTTGAAAACCATTTTCCGCCTCCGTTTGTGTCAAGAAATTGTTTTGATGAGGGTTTGGTGCCGAGCAATGTTTCAGGGCTGGAGCTACTTCAAGCCCGCGTAACGCGTCATTCGGAAGTGCCCGATGTCCTCAATCAGACAGAGTTGGTGCCCGGGATGACGACGAAGGCCGGCTGGCCATAACTAGTCGGTCTGTGGTCAATTTGGATCATGTTGGAAGGGAGGCGCGGCTGGGAAACAGCCTGAGGTCGCAGATCATATTCATAGTTCCCAGATTGCATTGCACGGCGCCGGTCATTGTTGGCTATCCTCGAGTGTAGAAGGTGTCGAGTTGAATGACAGCTCCGTGAACGGCGACTCAGCATATTGTCTCATAGATTGGTATGGTAGAGTAAGTTGAATTAAGTCTTCATTGAGGTTTTGGGGTGGTTCTGGACTCGGAAGGGGGAGTTGAGCTGCCATGCTCGCAGCATCCGCAAGAACATCCTGTTTTGGTCTTGTTACTGCCGCCCAAAGGTAGCAAAAAGACTCATACCATGCTGTTCTCTGGCAGCAAGAGCGGAGTCTGAGTTCAAAGGCCAACGACTCAGCGCATCGAGCATCGAGCAAAATATAGGCGTGTGGGAACAGCTGGGCTGGGTGTGAGAGAGAAATTGGCCGTTTGGCTGCTGGGAAATTCTCGCTTAATAAAAATATTATATTCTACGGTTTCCTATCGTCCGACCTCCAAGAATTGAGCACCCCTAGTGTAGTGACCGGTGGAAGCATGGTGGCATTGAGCTTCTCCGGGAGGAAGATGTATATCTCTCAGATGCATCTGTCTGGTTTGTGTTATCTGAGCGTTTCCCTTCAAACAGTTAATCTGCACGCAGACTGTCTCGGACTTGTTCGGACCCTCCGACCATCAACTTGGATCTTTACCCATTTGGACTTGCGTTTGTTTACTTATATCCTTTAGGCGTTCGCCTTGTTTCCTTTGCCTCGTGTATGTCTTCTCGTTCCCCTTACTTACTATGCCTTTGTACTTAACCCGCAGGGAGATCCTGCGGACCACATCGGATCTCCCTGCGAGGTCATATGCCTTATGCTTACCACTTAGTATAAATACTCGTACCTTACACTCCTGTACTTCAGTTTCGTTATTAACGTTTCTTGCCTCGCTCTCCGCTCTCGTCCGACTCCTCCCCGCGTTCTAAGCCTTATCGCCTTCGGCTTCTCCGAACGTATCCGCAGGAGTTCACGTATTTGTTCAGACTTGCTTTCCGGCCTGCAAGACGCGTAGTCGCTCACTCCGATATAGTGTTGTGATAGCCACTCGGTTCTGCTTCGGACTTTCCATTACTTCCCTTCGGTTCTTGCACGGCACTTAACAG